AAAAAAAAAAAAAGAAATAGTGACTTAATAAACAATTGTGGGGGGGGTAGGAAGGAGTTAGCTATGAATAGTCGGCCTTATGAGTGTACTTTTACAAACCGAATCACCTGGAAACTTGGTCGTTTGAATTTACGTCTAATGCTTCAAAAATCATTATATATATATATATATATATATATAAATTATGTAGTCAGCCTCCTCAGCCACTCCCAGGATGTCACTAATTCCAAAAAGCACCATTTTCATATCTTAACCATCGCTGAAATTAGGAAGCACCCTAAAATTGATGGTGCATATCATTGATTAGTATGTATCTTGCGATTATAATTGCTAGTGCTGGTGGGAGTAAGAGCTTCAAATAGAAAACAAGTGAATTTGACTCTTGATTTGGGAAGCAAATCCCTCCCTCTGGCTCGGGGCCAGAGTTTCTCTGGCATGAACAGGAGGTGGAAACGTATGGCCATAGAGCATGGGTGTGGTGGGCAGACCGGTGTGAATCTGAATCCTGCCCTTCCGCCACTGCTTTTGCAACGCAGGACACATTAAATCCACCAGGACACATTAAATCCACCGCTCTCTTATCTGTAAAATGCGAATAAGCCTTGCCTCAGAGTTGAGAGGATTAGACCAAATAACGTTGAATTCCTGACCCACCGGGCGCCCTGTTGGTCCTCGATTGCCAGAACTATCATGATTGTATTACTGTTACCATTGCTGCTAACCTCCCTCTGTACCTCTGCTTCCTAATAGCCATGGAGCCCATCACCCAAGACAAGCGCGTCTCCCAGGGCCACAACGGAGACCTGTATTTCTCTAACGTGATGTTGCAGGATATGCAGACAGACTACAGCTGCAACGCCCGCTTCCACTTTACCCACACCATCCAGCAGAAGAACGCGTTCACCCTCAAGGTCCTCACCAGTAAGTGCGGGTCCCTGCCGGGGGCCAGGAGCCAGGGGCACAAGCCCACTGAGCTCATGGAGCCCCAGGCACCTGGGTCTGGGGGAAGCCTTGTCCCCGAGACTGACCAGGGAATCCTCCCGGCTCATTGTGCCTCAGCCACTTGAGCCACTTGAAATGACATCTCTTCATTCTGAAGCCTTGGGTTAAACTTGGTCCCGCTCTAAGTCAGTGCCTCTCAAGCTTCGGTGTCGGCCCGAGTCACCTGGCCAACTGGGCAACCATCCCAGGCTCAGCCCTAACCTGCCTCCACGGTCCCGGCCTCCGTGTTCCCCGTTAGCTCTCTAGGTGCCCTGGACACACAGCGGCATCGGAGAAGCACTGCTTCGAGTGGCCATCTGGCATCTCTCTCGTGCACTCAGCTTGAGTATTTCTTTTATGTCTAGCCGTTGTATGGTTGTCTGTACTTCTAGAATAAAGCCATAGTACAGAATAGCCAAATTAGTAGGGACACCGCCATGAATTGTGCGTGATTCTGTAACACGTGTACGCTGGACCGCATGGAATGACTGCGTTTGCAAGTTGCAGACTTATGTCCTGGTTTTGTTTGTTGCCGTTTTTATTTCCTGACGCCGTTTGGCTGGTGCCAAGGGGAGTCGGCATTTCCCGATCCGCTCAGCACCGGTGGCCCTCCACGGAGGAGGAAACCTAGTCAGTTCACAGAGATACTTCTTGCCGGGGACCCGCCGGCCTGGAGCTCTGGCTTCAAGTCCTCAGCCTGCTTTAGGGCATTGGGTTCAAAGTGGCCGTGGTAGTTTGCAGCGTGGGTTTGTAACAGGCCTTCTCGAGAGGAGACCTCAGTCTGTCTGACTCAGCTGTGAATGCCGTTTTGCACACCGTGGACGGTGGTGGTTTGGGGGGAGGCCAGGCAAATGGCATCACCTAGGCACCGGCAGCTGCCGCAGGTGGGTGAACCAGCGCCCACACGCCTCCCAGAAGGGCGCGGGGAGAGGCCCGGGGAGCTCACTCCTCACTCACGACAGCTGGGGGCCTGGCCCCCTCGTACTGTCGTCTTTCCTCAGCGGTCCCTGCCAGTGATGGAAGCAGGGGGTACTGAGAGCCCCCAGCCCCACACTCCGTGTCCACCGGGCATCGGGGCGGACCCCCAAGGAACAGCTTTCTTCCTGCTTCCCTTCTCCTGTAGGGAAGTTTTTTCCCTTTTTTTTTTTTTTTCTCTTCGTTTTCTTCTCTTTGCTTTCTCAATCTCTTCCTCCGTCCTTCTTCCTTTCTTCTTTTCTCCTCCCTCATCTTCTTTCTCTCTGGACCCCATTTAACCCTCCTCCAGCCCATCTCCCCCGCTTCTGCAGCTCCCGACGCACTGTTCTAAAGTTGGTGTCAGGCTGCCCATAATTTGCTAACCAATAGGATGGCCAGAAACCCCAGGAAAAGCCCCGCGTGCTCCTGGCAGGATGACCCAGCTTCATTCTGCTTGCTGCCCCTCGCTGGCTTTCTTATTCCGGACCCAGGCCCAGAGGGGACCCTTAGAGAAGAAAGTTGGGCTGCCTGAAGTGTCTCAGTGCACGTCAGGAGCAATCAGCTGCCAGCTGGCTGAGCTGAGGAGGACAGTGTGGTCTGCCCAGGACCTCGGAGTGGCCTCTGGAGCCAGGATGCGGCTGGCAGTGCTGGGCAGTGAGGGCAAGATGCTCACTGAGCCAGTCCCCGGACGGCCTTCGGTGCCGTCACCTGGATTCCTTTCTGCTTGCCCGGTGCGATGCTGAAAGTCAGCCTCCTGTTGGGGGAGTGAGTCAGGTGACCTTCTGTGGTCCTCAGTGTCATGTGGGGTACACGCAGGGCGATGGAAATGGTAAAGCGTCTTCCTCTGCGGAATGAGGCAGCTAGAGATTCTGAACATTCAGAAGTTCGACTTTCCAGAAACATCCTTTTCTCTACCAGAGGAAGGAAAGGATATTTATTTCTGCTTCATTTTGGGGTCCCCTTCGCCACTGAAAACTCTTTCCTCCGAACGCCGAGAACCCCCCCAGGTGATGAGAACAGAACCCCGTCTGCTTCCTGGAGTTCTCCCAGGGGCAGCTTTGGCTGGGAGCAAGTTCTGGGCATCTGAGCCAGCCCAGAATTGGGCACAGTTGCTTAAAATAGCACAGTTGTGCTCTCTCTGCTTTCCTGCCTGGAAAGGACATAGGCTCTTTCTTGTACCTCCAGAACCAGGTCTGGGGGTGGGAGGCAAAATAGCCATGCTAGGACAGCTTCAAAGTCTCTTCTCACCATGCCCCTCCACCACCGCTTGCCCCGTGGGGGAAGAAACCAATCTCACCATGCCTGATTTTGCACTACCTACGTAAAAGGAAGGGGGAAAAGGTATCTGATACAAAACACTGGGTGATCTGAAATCATTTTTCAAATTTGTTTTGGGTTGTGGTCAAAGACAAACAGCAGAGTCGGGCTCACAAAGATGTGCGTGTCCTACTTTGCCCACACCGGAACAGGTCCCTTTGGGTGCCTTCTGCCACAATAAGAGGTGACCGTGGTGAAGGAGGAGGCTTCTCTGCTGAGGCAGACAGTGAAGCACTAAGCCTGCTTCCTTCTAATGTCACTTCTAATCTAAGTGACACTCTTAGGAGTCAGAAAGCCTCCCTGAATTTCTCAGCTGTGCTGCAGAATCCACAAACTGTGAGGTTAGTTCCAAGCTCGGAGCACTTCTCTGCAAAGAGGTGGGTTCTGTTTCACCTTGGTCGCACGGGAGCCTAGGAGCATGAAGCCAGGGCCCTTTTAGCTGTGTGCCCCTGTCCTCCCAAGCCAGAGGAGGACCGTCCCCTCCCAAGGCAGCCTCAGCCCCTCCTCCCCTCTGCCACCCTGCCTCTTCATTCCGCGGCAGGCTGGATCCCACCCTTAGCTCCAGGTGACCCCACGCTGACTCTCCGGACTGGTTCGGACTTTTCAACATGCCCCATCTTAAGGGATAGTTCTGAATAATGCACATCTCCCCTAGTGGATGTTAAGCAGATTTGGGAAGCGATGCAATACGGTCCCAGCGAAGACTGTTCACAGCCTCTACCGTCGGTTGTAACACGATTTGATCTGTCTTCAAATATGCAAATATTCTGGCACAGCGCCTTGCCTCCCTCGGGCGGTTGGACTCTGTCCCTGGCTTCTCAGGGCTGTCTGCTTGGCTTCCAGTCGGCTGTACCCCCCACCCCACCCCCTGTTGGTACCATCCAAACTTGAACCCAGTAGCTGGACGGGGATGGCGGCAGAATGAAAAGCACAGCCTTGGCATGCTTCAGTGCCCTGTTCCAAAATGTCTTTCACGGAGGATTAAATGCCCAAGGGTCTTAATTACCTAACGTCGGAACCAAAGCCGCCGACCTCCTGCTGAAGGGATGACTTCAGCCCCAGCCAGTCTAGGAGCTCTGAATCTCTAGCTTGGTCAGCGGGTTTCTCCCATCCAAGTGTAAAACTCCTAGCCCATACCCTCTCTCTCCTGTCCCAGGCTGCCTTTCTCTTCCGAAAATCTGAACCGCAGCCTGGCTCTCTCTGCCTCCCTGGAGTAGAAGGAGGCCTTCTGCCAGCAGTGACATCTCAGAGACCAGGGTGGTGCCCGCTGGTCAGGTGGGCTGGGGAGGCCGGGTGCTTCTCGCTGGCAGCCCGTGATCACCGGGAGCTGCCAAGGGCCCCTGCGTCCCTCTCTCTCTGTCTCTCTGTCTCACTCTCTCTCTCTCTGTTGATGAACTGTATCTCTTGGACTGTCTTCTCTCCCTGAGCCCTGAGCTCCCACCACTGCACCTTACCTTCTCAAGGAGGGCTCTGCGCTACCCCCCCCCCCCCCCCCCCCCCCAAGAGCTGGCCTGATCCAGAGTCCTGGGCACTGAGGATTTTGATGGGAAGTTGTTCAAAAGACCGCTGCGGGATTCCACTAATCCTTATCTCATTTGATTGGAAACATAGTAGGATCAAGCCATTACAGGTCAAGCCTAATTTCTTTCATTAAAAAGAAACTTATCTTATTATTGCCTTCTTTTGCAGGATTTAACCTTTTCTTCCCTCTTTTGGGCTGTTTTATGTTGCTTGTTCTTCACCAGGCACGTTTCCTTTTCAAATTTGCCGTGTCTTTCCTTTGCAAAAAAAAAAAAAAAAAAAAAAAAAACACCGGTTGTTTTCGTGGCTTTGCGTTTCTGTTGTTCTCTCCCCGTTTATGCCTCCATGAGCTCTCCGTGGCCTCCTGTTTGCTCACCTTCTTTTGTTTATTGCAGACAACCCCTATAATGACTCGTCCTTAAGAAACCACCCTGACATATACAGTGGTGAGTCGCCGCGGTAACCTTGGGAGTAACCTTGCCTGTCCTAACCCCAGTTTGCCTAACTCGACTGATACCGTGTCATTAACTCACGCCGGGTGGCAGGGCTGACAGTTGGTCAGACCAGGGTAGGACTTCAGAAGACCTTTTGGGAGGACTCAGTAGAATCTTAGGAATCAGTGGCGGATGGATGGAGAGCATCTGAGGACAGATGCGTCCGCACGCACGTTGAGGAGGAGACGGAAGTCTGGTTCCTCCTAGTGGTTTACAGTACACAGAAAGCTTTGTGGTACATTTAGTTAACTCCTACGCGTCTGGATGTGAATTGCCTGCTCTGCAGTCTAGCCTTAGTTACTGGGGGTGCCGTGTCACAGGCTCCGTGTGTCTTTAAAATCCATCTGGCAAATATGAGTGAGAGTTCACTGCTGAGTTCTCTTTTAAGGTAAGTATAAAGGAAGACGGACCATCCGTGGCTCTCTTGCCTGGGTCTCTTCTCTCCTCCAGCAGTGTGCACAAATGGGTGGGTGCCCACCCACCCACACGCTTGCAAGTCATGGGACACTTTCCATGAGGCATATTTCTGACGTAGCCCACAACTGGTTGCTCAAGCTGATTAGTAGCGTCATTAGCTATTTCCACACCTGAGCCCCCACCTCCCACCATGGCTCAAGAATGTCTTGTTTCCCTTGAGCAGCCAGAGGAAACATC